ATAGCACAGGCAAAGGCACAAAGGGTGAAACACTGTGGCCCTGTTCAATACTCCTAATCCAGAATCTCCTGGGGGCATCTTGTTCCCTCAAACACCTACGGAAGGGGCCATCGTCCACTTGAGGTGAGACCACTACACCGCCCATTGGGGAGCAGTTGCACAGCAATGGGCCTCGTCACTGACCAGGGTTCCTAGGATCTTGGGTGTTGGCTGGAGAAGCCCCCCGCTGCCCTGCTGGGAGCAAGGGATCTGACAGCTTCTGACACTAATGCCCTTACCCAGATGTGAAGGAGGTTTAACATTGTCCCTCTACTTTTCTCCTGAAGGCTGAACAGCCCCAGATTCTTGGTTGCCTTGGGGAAAAGTGAAGATGAGGCAGCTGTCCCCTCCCCATGTGGGAAGGGTACTGCTTGCCCAGGGCCCTCTGAAGTCCCTGCAGGTTCTAGCTCCACTTCTATGACCCAGGCTCGGTCAGAGCCCACGAGGCGGAAAACCCACAGCCATTCACCATTCACAGGAGGCCTGTGGGAATAGATTCCCCGAGGCGCGGGGGCTTCTGGGAGCTTCCCCATGGAGGGCTCACATGGGGTGGGCAGGGGCAGGGCGGGGTGGTGGCGCTGCAGCAGGATCCCAACAATGGGGAGAAATATTTCCCTCCTCTTACAGTGAGACCTGGAGGGATCCAGGGGATGATGGTTGGTGCCTTCTGGGGACAGCTGGGGGTAGCTTCTACTCATCCCAACTCCCCAGCTTTCCAGAGAGGGCATGCTGGGGCTGTGGCCCAATGTAAAAGGCACACCAGGGACCCAGGTCCCTGAGATTGGGGGTTTGCCTTGGCAGATGAGAGGCCACACCCTCCATGTGCTGACCTCAGAGTGGGAGGGGCTTCTGCAGCCCTGGAGGCCTCAGGCTCACCGACTCTGAGAGCGTGGGGGCCATCACTTCCCCATAGGGCCACACAAACCTAGACTTATGCCTTGGCTTGGCCACTTACTGACTGGGTGACTGTGCAGCACAGGTAACTTCTCTGAGTCTCAGTTCCTGCTCTGGTGCTAATAATATCTAATGGTGCTAATGAGGTCGTAGGGAAGGTAAGTGGTTCTGGGTGTGAACGGGCTCCTTCTGGGTCTTGGGGGTGGGAGCCACATGGTTGCCTTATTTACAAATCCTTGGTCCCACCTCCTCCTCGTAACAGGGATGGAGGTCAAAGCCTGGCCAGGGGTGGAGACGCTTTGCCTAGGTGACTCCTCTGCACACGGTGGGGATTTGGACATTTGGTGTCTCATAGCTGTCCAAACTGCGCTCTTAGAACTGACCTGGTTCCTGCCACGTGAAAAGCAGCATCAGGGAGCGTCGTCCCTAGAGAAACACCGGCCTCTGCACTGGCCTGGGCTACAACACGGGGCCAGCACCTCACTTCTTTGTGTCCCCTTCCCCAGTGGAGGTAGATGGGGAGAAGTCCTCATGTCAGGTTCACATTAGCAGGTGGGCAGAGCCCAGTCCAGAGTGCAGCTCTCCTATCACTCTGGTCTGACACTCCTGGTGCCAGAACTGCGAACAGGCTCATCATCAACCCCAGGGGCTATGCTTCTCATCGAACAATTCGTCATGCACTTAGATGGTGAGCTGTTTTATGGCTTCGCAAACACAGATGAGACTCTGATGCCTGATAAAAGACTTTGCTAGAGATGCCAGCTGAGAAGCTCATTATCTGGAAAAAGCCAAAACTGCTTACTCGAGACAAAGCGGCTTCAGTCTTGGCAGGCTGGGAGGCAGTGCCAGGGAAGCTGCAGGGGGTCGTGGCTTCAGGGATGGATGGGGAAATACGAACGCATCGTTATGTCATTAAATGCGTAATATCTGTGCCTGTCACTGGAAGAAGTGCAGGGACCTGGGCCCCTAGAGTCTGGGGACCAGAAGGAGGCCAAGTGGGCCAAAAGGGTGGGCATAGGAAAATGAGAGTGGCAATGGGGCCAACAGACAGGGCGGCCCCTGAGCTGCGGCCCAGCAGCCTCTCCACATGCAGGCGCCAACTATACCCCTGAGCACTGTGGACAAAGGTCTGTGCGCCTGCTGAGCTTAAGAAGCCGGGTACCCATGGGCTACGTACCCCCAGTCTGGGAGGAGGGTACGCCTCCTCAGCCTCAGGCCCCCGGGTGGGGATTCTTGGGGCTTCTTTCTGCACCTGGACCGCTTCAAGCCCAGAGTCTGTCTCTGGTGGAGGCAAGGCAGGTGGGGGAGTTCGGGGTGGTCCACGCCACACCATACTGCCCTCAGACCCAGTGAAGCAGGCTTGGGGCAAATCTCAGATGCCCAGGATTTTGACTTGGGATCTTGGCCTGAGGTGGGCTCTAGCCTCCATCCTCCCCTGGCCCCTGGGTTTCCTGGTGTTGGGCTGACCTTGCCCCCTTGCTTTGGAGGCTGGGTCCCCCACCTGGGGCTCGCCTGGGCACCAGTACTGATTATTATCTCCAGCTAGCCTGATGGCCTGCCTGAACCATGTTCTCTGCACCTAGGCTGCCACCTCTACAGTGGCCTGAATTTCCCCATACCTCCTCTTTCTGACCCCCTTGCTCCCAGCATGCCACCCCTGGCCCAGATGTGTTCCTCCTGGGGGGTGTGCTGGGGAGGAGGTTGTTGCATTCAGACCTGTATCTGGAGGGTGGTGGCCTGGAGGAGCACAGAAAGAGGAGGGGCCTGGAAACATGGTTAAGCATTATATTCTCTGCCACCATGGAGAGATGCTCCCGGCTCCCAGTCATAATCATGTGGCTTCCAGAACCCAGGAGAGAGCAGCGACTCCTGTGGCTGTGCCTCTCAGTTTACAGACTGCCGTTACTCATTTGGCTACTGTCAGGTTGGCCTGTCCCATGGCAGCCTCCACTCTAAAGCTCTTTTAGCTAATGGAACCGCAATGCCACCTGCCACCACATGTGCATGCCCCGTCCTGTAGCATCTGCCTTACATCCGGGAAAAAGCAGTAGCAGCTGTTGTGGGCCAATGTGACAGTGAAGTCTCTACTATGTGGGCACAGCCAGCTGCTCAACCGGGGGCCCAGGCCCGAAACACCTGCAGCCTCAACCAGATTCCACACCCAACTCTGGTTTCCACCAGACAGTTAAAAAAAGAATGTTCTTGCCCGCCAACAGCCATGTGGATGACACAGAGCAGCAGTCCCCAACCTTTCTGCCACCAGAGACCGGTGCTCCTATGAGAATCTAATGCCTGATGATCTGAGGTATGAGCTGAGGCAGTGATGCCAGCGCTGGGGAGCGGATGCAAATACGGATGAAGTTTCACTAGCTCCCCGCCCTGCTCGCCTCCTGCTGTGCACCGCAGTTCCTAACAGGCCACAGACTGGTACCGTCCAGGGTTTGGGGACCCCTGACATAGAGGATTGAGAGTGCAGGAGGGAGCCGGCTCTGGGAAATGACCTGAAGCCACCAGAAACAAAGTCCTGGTCTATCAAGGACCCCGGCCACCCACACAGGGACTGAGGTGCTGGTGACGGGGAGCCACTTCCCTTTCGGGGAGCCCTGTGTCAGCCAGGACAGCACTTACGTTGATCATAGCATTTGATGTGATGCGGAAGAGGGTGGCCCGTTCGTTCACAGCCTTCAGTTTCTCACTGCTCTCGTACGGGATCCTGAGGCCGTCCAGCTCGTTCAGGGAGCGCTGGAGTGCGGCGCCATGCTTGGTGATGAGGTCATTGCATGTGCTGAGGTCACCTAACTTCAAGGAGAGGCTTCGGATGGTGTTGTGGAGTTCGTTCTTGTCAGCTGGGGAGGTAGTCTCGTCGTCGTCGTCCCCAGAGTCATCTGTGGAGGGAAGCAGAGTTGCTGTGGTTATTAGTGACCGACGAGGCGTGAGAGGCCTGCCCAGCCTGGGCCAAGGAGGGAGGAGCAGGTAGCACTACTCAGAAAGGAGAGTGCCCTAGACGGTGTCAGTTCTTGCTCTGGGCCAGGGTGAGGTATCTACCAGCCTTCCCTGGGTGGGCACTGGGTGGGCTCAGGCCCTCCCGAGTCAGTGGGGAGGGATGTAAGCAGGGACGGGCTTGAATGACAGGGCCTGAGCTGTGCTTTGGAGGGGGAAGACTTGCAGGCACCTGCCCACATGCAGGGCACCAGCTCCCCTAAGGGTGGGCTGTGCTGGGTGGAGAGGTGGGGACTGCTGTGTAGGGGCAGCTCACATCCCAGGCCAGAGACTCAAATAAAGCCTGGCTCTTTTCACCACATCGCGGGGGCCCAGCCCAAACTGACCCTCACTTTCTCGCCAACCTTACTTTCCTCTCCACTCCCAGCCACGCCCAGCCACACCCAATTGCCCTCTGTTCCGTTCAAACACGTAAGCACTCAAGCTTGGGGCTTTCTAATTTTGTCCCCGCTGCCTGGAACCTCCTCACCTCACTTCTATTTTTTAACTTGCTATTAAGCAGTACACTTTAGTAAGCAACTCTGAGGGTCCAAGTTCAGATCCAGCGGCTGGGGACACCTCCCCCACCCCTCAGAGGTCTGGCCCCTGCCCACCCCTGCGCTAGCATGTCTCCAAAGACTGCCTGAACACCCTCAGGCCGAAGTCACGGCTCCCCCCATCCCTGCTTCCGCCTCATCCCATCCTACGTTTGGTCATCATCCATCTCTTCTGAAGGTCCAAGGCCACACTCACTTATAGAAGGCCACTGGCTATGGCCTCTAATAATGGCCTTGTCAATTTAGGGACAGCGCCATCACCAGGCTCAGAGAAGTGCAGTCATGACCTGGGCCACCCAGCCAGTCTGCTGCCCCCAGGGCCACTCTCCTCATGCCTGGCTGCTGAGCCGGCCAGGTGAGTGCTCGGTCTCCTCCGCCTCCCATCCTCGCTCACCTCTTGCATAGCTGCCCAGGTGCCCTCAGTGAGCCCCTTCCTGCAAGTCTAGGGTGCCTCAGATCCCAGCCTGCTGCCCACTCAGCCTGTCTCTAAGGTATCACAGCACTGTGAGGGCGTCTAGGGTGGACGATGGGCAGCTGGCCTGGGCCCTGCTGCTGCTTTAATGCTGAGCAAGGGAAAACCAAGAGGCTAATATCAGCCCGTGAGTGCCAGAGCCCGTAAATGCTGAGGCATTTCTGAAATGCCTTGTTTCACAAATAATCAGAAAGAAACTTTTTTCTTTTTAGATGAAGGAAATCTATAACTTAAGATACAACCTTATTTTTAAAGGTGCATATTGTGAGAGAACAGATTTCTTCCCATGGTGGGCAGAGTGCATGGGGGTGGCCATAGCTGAGTCCACTGCTCTGAACATGTCCTGAGCCAGTGGCAGTGCCAAGCCAGCCCTGGTGGCATGGGGCCCAATCGAGAGGGGGCTAGGGGACAGTATGCACTGCACACCTTGTCCCCACCAGCCATAGAGGCCTTGGGGGCAAGCATCCTCCCCTGCCAGCCAGCCCAACTATAGCCCTGAAATGATCTCCAAAATGACCCAGTGTCTGGAGACCGCATGTGCTGGCCAGGCTCTGCATCACTGGCTTTATTCATGAGAACACTGAGCCTCATGATGGTCAGCAGACCTTGGCTATTCCTCCCGCTCTGCAGGTGAGAACAATTTCCAAGAAGAAAAGCCACAGGTTTAGGGCCCTGCTCTTAAGAAGGCAGAGATGGATCTGAATCCATGTTGGTCTGAATGAAAGGCCTTTTTCTCTCTAGATTGCCTTAGAAAAGCTCCAACAGCCTTTCTGGGTGCCAGTCCCTGGGTGAGGTGCTGCCTTCGTTGATGACCCAGTGAGGTAGGTCTGGGGCAGAAAGGTAAATTGAAATTGCCCAGGGCCACGAGGCAAGGAAATCCTGGATCATCTGGGTCTGCCTGGCTTCAGAGCTTGGGCTCTGAGTTACAATGCAACTTCCTGTCACCTCTCCAGTTTCAATATATCTAACAACTAAAATGGACAGCCGCCAATCCATCAAAACAGCTGCCACTGACACTGAGAGGGCCATGTGGGGGCATGCTGGCTGTGGGTCAGCCCGAATGTGCTCTAAGCAAGAAGCGATGAGAAGCACAACTAGCCTAATTCTGAACATCCTCCTCCTGGCGTGCAGAGGTTGGGGTAACCACATTTCTATTTAAATAGTCATTAAGCAATACAGCTTAGTAAGCAGCTCTTACGGTCCTAGTTCAGTCCAGCTGCCGGGGACCTGGGGATGTGTTTGTTCTGCTCCCCAGTCACTGGCTATGTCCTTGGGGGGTGGGATGAGAAAACACCCAGGTCAGCGATTACTGACCAACACAGTTTGTCTTCTGGGAACGAGCAGCAAGAATCCCTCCCAGATGGATAGTGAGATCAGAGAATGAGGGAGGAAGGGAGAGAGGGAGGGAGAGAGAGAGGGAGGAAGGGAGAGAGGGAGGGAAGGGTGAGGCGAGGGATGAAGTAAGTGGGTAAGTGAATGAATGAACGATCTTGGGTGCATCATGGGAGGCCTGTCCAGGCCCATCAGTTCTCAGTGGCATGCACAGAGGTGGCAGGTCACGCACAAGATGGTAAGGTCTGGAGAAGGATGTGAGCAGTAGGGTGGGGCACGGAGGAGGTAGTTGGAGGGTGGAGATGGTAAAGGGCCTCTGGCACAGCCAAGGAGCCTGGGCTTCATCCCTTGGTAAAAGGGAGTGTGTGGACATTTGAGCTGAGGCCCATAGGACAGATGAGACTGATAGCAAGTGGCATGAAAGGCACACTGGAGGGAACTGAGAGGCCAGAGGTCTGATGGGGCTAGGGCTGGGATGGCCACAGGAGGCCAGGGGTCGGAGAGAACAGGACCCCTGAACCCAGCCCAGACGTGTTGATGGCAGCACTTATCCAGCTCCTAGGCCATGAACGACGGCCATACTCTCGTGTAGTCTCCACACCTCACCAGTCCTCAAGAAGGAGGGGGTGGGTGTCACTCAGAAGCTGACATATGGCCTAGCCTCCCATACTCCCCCAGTGCTTTGCACTGTTCAGACACGTGCTGAGCATGGCAGTGTGAACACCCGCTCAAGCCTCGGAGGAAGCAGAGCTGAACTACGAAGGGGACTCTGCTTCCAAAATAGTGAATTCTGCCCACGCTGAGTGCCCAAGTCTCAGTTTGCAGTCAAGGGTCCTTGAAAGGAGCCAAACCACACCGGAAAGACAGGCAAAACTCTATATTAGAGACACAAATAAAACTACTTAATGTGACATTCCTTGAACTGGAAAAAAGAATGGATGGCATTAAATTAGCTCATGCTTTCTAAAGGATAAACCAGCGGATTCCCATCAAGAGCCATTGAAAATGGCCCCTTGGCTTCCATCACCCACTTCTCTCTCTGACAGAGACTCAACCGATAGAAGATTTAGTGCAAAGGAAGGAAGACATTTGTAAGTACAAAGCTGTTTAGGCCTGCAGTTCTCAGGTTCATGGTCTTGCAGATTCTCAGGCTTTTAAGACTCCACATATTCTTTCTGTTCCTACTTCCCACTGCGGATAAAACTCAGGGACAGTGAGCATCTAAGAGGAATAAAATAACAAGCCACATTACAAGAACACAGCAGACACTAAACTATCCACAGAGGTAAAATTCTATAGAAATTTTGCAACTATGTTAATACAAGTATAGCGGCAGCTGAAATCTAGGGCCAAGACAAAGCCATATTCCCAGGCAGAAAGGAGCCCCTCGCCTGCCTCAAAGCCCACGCGAAGGCCAGGACTTAGCAAACTGAGCAGGGAGGGGGCTGCCAGGCTGCCTTGGGGGTAGTATAAAAAAATGAGGTGGTCAGAGAAAACAAGATAGATGCCTGAGTTCCTGGTTCATGTTGAGCTCTGATGCTTTGTGTGGCCATCTTCCTTCTTGGAGTCTCAGAGGCTTCATGCAAGGGCACCAATACCCATCTCATGGATCTGGGAAGGACCTAGGTGCCAGGTGGCCCACATCAGCTGGAATTATCACCAGCACCAGCAGCAGCAGCCACCACACTGAGGGGATCTCTGTGCACTCGGCTGGGAAACAGGCTCTAATGCAGGGAGAGACACACCCTGGTTTTCATGTTCTGACTGAACTCAATGACTCTCCATTACCTTCTAGAAAATGCTGGTCCTTTAAGGATACAACAAAAGCAGAAAATCTACCTGAGCACTAGGAGGGTAAAATGTTTCATCACCCAGGACCCAGTGCAGGCTGGGAAGTGGAGAATGGGAAGGAGCCAGCAGATCCCTCGTAGATGGTGCTTCTGCATAAGGCTCAGGAGGGAAGCCAAGAGCAGGGGCCTGGGAGACTGAAGTTGGTGTTGCTGAAGGGCTGAGGTATGGAGGGAGGCTGGCCAGTCCCAGGCTGAGAGCCGTGGTGCCCCATCCGTCTCCCCTGCCTGTCCCTTAGGGTTGCCATGGAGAACATTAGAAAATGTCCTCGTCCTCTCCTGGCCCCCCAGTTCCCCATGGAATGGGCATGGGGGTGCAAGGGATGGGCACTGGCCTTGGAGGCCCATGCTGGTGTGAGGCCCTCAGGCCGCCACTGCCCAGAGTCCTCGGTAGGCTTCCTGGAATCTCCCTCTTCATCTGGAAGTAGAGATGACAGTCTCCCTGTCCCTGGGCCTCACACGGTGGCTGGGTAGCTGCCTCGGCTTCTCCGCATCCTTCCTTACGTCCTCAGGTGGGCTCTGGGAGGCAGGGAGCAGCCATAGCCCTTCTTGGTGATCTCCAAGAATCCCCAGACAAGGAAGGCATGGCCGCTCCATGGTCCCACCCCCACATGGCTGGTGTCGAGTTCCCCTGGGTCATTCAGACTCCTCCCCAGTAGTTGAAAGTTGGGGTTCCCTGGCCTTGGAGTCCCTACTTT